CTTGCACCACCTCGGTAGTCATCGTCGTCAATGTTAAAAAGGGGGTGCGGGGTTATGCTCACGTGTCGCGTCACTTGATATTAAATAGGTGGTGCAAGATTTCCTCCATCAACCGTAGGGCGAAGAATGCTAGCAGCTAGTCTGAGTAAAAGCGGTCCCTTCCTCCAAGTTTCTGGATTCACGTGCCAGGTTTCGGAGCGAGTGGTAGAAGTTCCAGAGGCTGGGAATCCCATGAACGCAGCATTCCAGGCATGAGAAAGGCTACAATCGCATACAATCATCAGGTCCGCTACGTGGAGAAAATTGTAGAGGTGCCGGAAGTGCACACTCAAGAGGTGGTTCTTGCCTTAATGGATAGCAAGTTCATGACATGATTGAGATTCTCTTTAAGCATTGCTTACTATTCGAAGATTCCTTTCTGACTGCCGTCTCTGCTGTAGGCATGTACATGCGTGGCACGGTCAAGGTTAGAACTGTTCCAAAAATCGAGATTCAGGAGGTTGCCTTGGCCTGAGCTCCTCAGATACTTCTGGCCCTTCACTCCACGACTTCTAGTCCAAGAGGTGGGATTTTGCAGCGGTAGCAGCCGAGGTAAAGACCATACCGAAAGTTCAGGCAGGGAGAACGATGGCATTCTGATCTCCGCTCGGGATTCCAGATGGTCCTGATTTGGGAGAATCGGCAGGTACAGGTGCAGGAGCGGATCGTCGAGGTGCTGTCGCGGCAAGTTCCGCTTGGAATCGACTCCGTGACATGCAAGAGCGACGTGGTATCACTATGATGTTATGATATTGAGGGTTTCGACACCTTGTCTCAGCATTGTGCAGGTGCCAAAGGTTTGCACTGTGGAGAAAGTGGTCGAAGTGCCTCAAGTCCAGATTCAAGAGGCCGAGCTTGTGATCGCAATCTGCTCGTGATTGGAGCCTCGCGCATGGGCAGCCGACGATGTCGCAATCTCGTCTTGTTGCAGTCAGGTTGTTCGAACAGTACCTCGCCTGGAGGCCTACTTTTCTACACCGCTGAACGATGCAGGGCTTCAGTAGGGAATGCAGGGTTCAGAGTTCAGAGTGTTTTCGAGATTTCTGTACTTCTCGCCGACTTCCGGCAGTCTGTTCCATGGCAGGTCCAGGAAGTCATCCACGAGGTGCCAAAGGTGGAGGCGCCGTCCAACGCTGATGTGTGGTCTTTGGTCGTGCCATCCTCGCTGTATGACTGAATGTGATCCTGTTGCAGATTCGAACGGTTGAGAAGCTGGTGGAGGTACCACAGGCCCCTCTGAGCACTGAACTTGCTGTGCGGTGCCAGTATTGATGTCTGTGGCTTTGACCTCTCCGACCGTCATGTATGTATCCTACTGGCCCATGAGCTCTTAAGAAACCCAAAGTCTATCACGACCATGTAGGAGAAACTTGGACGCACTGGAAACTCTCTCCGTAAGCGCCAATAGTCCGATCGCGTGCAGAATCATTTTCATGGCTTGATCACTCGTCTCATTTTGACAAGGGAGGCACTACCTAAAGGTGCTCCGCTGCCGGTTTAGGGCACCTGAAATGGAAAAAAAAGTCCCAGAATTTGAGCACAAACCCAAATTCCCCACAACCCTAGAGCAAACCGAGGAAGACAGAGGCCCCGATATTCAAAACTCTAAGATCTGATGATGATGATGATGATGATGGGCGGTGATGGTGACGCTTCTGGTCATGGCCATGCTCATATCTGTGGTGGTGGGTCTGAGCTTCTGCTTGTTGCGTGGCAACCGTCTATCGATTACAACATCGGTAGTGCTTACTATCATGAAGGTGATTCGGACTTTTGAAATCATCATGTCTTTAGCATTGTTGTTACAGTGACCCATGTTGCTGTTATTCCTTGTCAGGAATGATTTTGCCCAGCAATGCACTCCTTAGCCTGGTGTGCCTATAAAGTGCTACCCCAACTATGAAGCACGAAAGGCGTGAGGAAGGTGAAACCTTGAAGCGAACACGTGAGGTGTAAGGAGATCTTTGCTGAAATGTTAATGGATCTGCCGATTGTAGTGAACACTCGGTCACGCTAGTGCTGATGATGCTCATTGTGACGGTATACACTCACCATGATGCTTCAGAGCAATTGGAGCAGTGCAACAGCTATGGGCTTATTGCATTCTTTCATGTCCATGAGTGGCGCGGAGGGTGCAATGCTGTCCTCACCGCAAGGTTGCACTGGTGGACAAGTTTGTAGAAGTGCCACAGGCCATGGCAGCATGTCCACCTTGCTTGCAGAGTCGTTTTTTGTGTTGCTCAGACAGCTTCGAAGCGTGCGGGCTAGGTTCGTGTACTAGAGGTATTTTGGAAGTTGGGTATGCGTGCGTGGCCGGTATCTGCAACTCCTTTCAGGTGCAGGTACAAGAAGTGGTCCGACATGTGCCGAAATTGGAGGTGCACGAGGCGAATTCTCTGCTCTTCACCTTGCCGGGGTAAGGCTTCGCTCTAGAGCCTTTGCGGCTTCGTGTTCACTGCCGCAGGTCGTCCGTGAGGTGCCAAAGATCCAAATGGAGTACCGGGAAAGGACACCCGTCTGCATGACAGGGATGCTAAGCCTCTGCTTGGGGCAAGGCAGGTCGAGGCTGTGTCGAATGGTTTTCGACGTGGAGGCAACTTGTTTTGTACAACAGGTGTGACATATGCCGAATGCGGCATTGAATATAGCAGCGTGCTGCAGTCAGAGATGGCCAGTATGCGGAGCAAGTGGCACACCAAGCACAGACTCCACGACATGGGTTTTGCAAATGGCCGTGCTCGGTGAGAGGAAGGGTAAATCTGTAAGCAGCCCCAAGATGTTGCCTCGTTTGTCCCAGGATTGTGGAGGTTCCGCAGGTGCACTTGCAGGACCGCTGAGCTCGTGCTGCCGGCATTGCCACTGCTGTTGACAGCGTAGTACTGCATCAGTGCACACAGAGCTCCTATGCACCAAAAGAGACTCAGGAGCGACTGGTCGAAGCTCGGCACTTAGGTAGAAGATCGAGGGGGCGTGCTCGGCCTTGAGCGTGGGAAGTCGTGTGCACTGAAAAAACGGACGTTGAGAAGCCGGGAGGGTCTTGGTTGGCCGGTTGGGTGAAGAGAGGAAGTCGTGTGCTCACGTTGCGTTCAGGTGCCGAAGGTTCAAGTCCAGGAGGTCGTGCGCACCGTGCCCAAGGTTGAAATTCAGAGCCTTGACTTGTTTCAGCTGAGCAAGGGCGGCACGGCGCGGCCAAAGCTACTTCGGGGTCAATTACCTGATGCCGTGGCAGTGGAGACGCATCTAGCAATTTCTGGCCAAATTACCAGCACTGGTGAGATGCTGATGCAGAAAGCCTTCTTGGTGCCACCAAAACTTGTAGCGGGCATTGAGCGCGAATATCTCCTGCACTTGCATAGTGAAGTTACAGAAGCTGTTGCTTAGGACCGTCGATCGCATCGTCGAGGCCCGGGACGGCGCGTCACTTCTGAGATCGATCATTAGCAAAGGCTCTGTCGATTGTCCGACCTGTGCCGCAATCCAGCTGTCAAGATTTGCGATGCATTCGCGATTCTTCTAGAGGAGTGAAATCGGACATGTGCTCCGCATTAGGTCCAATCAGTTCAGAAACAGCTGCAGAGTGACAGCATGCAGGTGCCACAGGTCCAGCTCGTCGAAAAGCTTGTGGAGGTCATTTTCTGCTTGACTTAGCTACATTCTGTTGGGGTTGAATTTGGCTGTATATTCCAATTTCCCATGGGCAAACTTGCCTTTCAAGTGTCAACGTTCCGAACGCAGAGAGTCGACAGTAATGATTATGGAATGGCAGTCGCGGCTTGCCATGCTTTTCCCCCCGCTGTGTTTCACAGGTGCCTAAAGTCGAGATCCAAGAACGACTTCATCACGTTCCAAAGCGGCCATGGCATGTATTGAAGTTCCTTGCGCTGAGTTCTTCGTACTCCAATGCCTGGTGTTCATGATCTGTCTGAAACGCAAAAGGGAGGAGGCTTGAAAATTGCGAGGTGACGTCCCGCCCTGTTGGAATGGGCATAACGTGGACATACGTGGACGAACCTGACACCTGACGTGTGTTACACATGCTGTCTTTGTTGTACTGCTGTATACACCACACAATTAGTCAAGTTCCAGCCTGCGATTGAGGTGCTAAGGATAGTCAAGATTCTCGCCGAGATGTGCGGCGCAACCCTTCGAGATACCATGACTGGTAGCATTCTACATTCTACATACTTCACAATACTGGCCGGAAGTCGAGGCCCGAAACCAGGAACCTGGGCCACCTATTGAAGGGGTCAGCGACACAGACGCTGTGCTGGATCATCGTGTGGGGAGGGCGCCGATTCCACAGGAGTCCGGGCGGATCTCACTTACTGCCCATGGGGCCATTCGTGGGACACCTCCCTGCGGTGTTGGCCGGCAAACAAGAATAGAGGTGACTTTCAGGAGGGGACATGGTACGAGACGTTTGATAAAACCTTGCCCTGCCAGCACAGAGTGTTGCACAGGTCTTGCTCGGCACCTCTTGAAAAACACTAGTATTCGTCTTGCTGCTCTCTTGCTACGTATCAGGATCCACACACAAGTCGTGGAGAAGCTGGTCGAAGTGCCACAGGCATTCTGCTTGTGAATCTTCAGTGCATGTTGCTCATTTCGACGTGTGTGCAACCCGGCGCAGCGAGAACATCCAATGAATCCAAGTATCTGACGGGCAACTGTAGTATGATGACATTCACGAAAAACAGGTGCAGTATGTTGACAAAGTCGTCGAGGCAAGACCGCGGACGCTCTGCAGAAGCGAGTTATGCTCGAACTTTCGGCGGCTGGTGACGGTGTGCAAGGTGCCGCAAGTACAAGTACAGGAAGTGGTCAGGCTCAGCATGCCTCTCTCGTTTTAGCCCGGAATAGAACATTCAGGGGCTCCAAGTGGATGTAGCGGGAAGTGGGACGCATTGTGCAGTTCTGAAGTTCTGAAGCACATCAGTGCAGAGCTCCTCGATCGCAGGCATGTGCCGAAGATTGAGACACAGGCCGGTGTTACGATGTTGCTGAGCTAAGGGGACGCAGGCGCTGACACGAACTGGCGCACAGCCGGCTCATGAGAGATCCCGTCACGAACTAGACAGCCAAGCGAAGAGGAGATCGTGCGTACAGTGCCGAAGATCGAAATCCGAACGGCAGCCACCTCAGTCAATGACTCTGAGTAGTTTCACAAGCAGGCTTGACAAGCTCGAGTGCAAACACGAAACAGCGAAATGTACTGAAAGATGCAAGGTAGAGAAGATCGTGGAGGTCGGCAGTGGGCGTTTGCCTGGAAGCCCTTGTGGAGTTTGCCGCTCTCTGCGATGGCTCACATGTGATGCTGTCTGTTAGCTGCCAGGTCCCACAAGTGCAGTACGTCGAGAAGATCGTTGAAGTCCCGGAGGTTCGTGTACAGGAGGCAAGGGCTCAAGGTCTTGCGAGCCGTCAGAACCAACAAATGCGTTGCCCTATTTTTCGTGCGGTCACACCTTGTGCGGGTGGGCAGGTAGTGCGGCACGTGCCCAAGATCGAAGTGCAGGAAATTGTGCGGCATGTTCCAAAAATCGAGGCGGACTTCGGAAGCCATGCCTTCCGTCTTTGATGCCCGAAATCAATGCATGCAAATCGGCCTGGGCTTGGCAAAGTTTGGGAATGTCGTTTACAGGTGAAGCTTGAGGAACGCATCGTCGAGCACCCGCAGATCCATCAAGTGGCAACCGGGTGGCAAAATGATTCCTTGTTTCGTCTTGCACCGGAAGTACTGTGGCTTTTTGGCTTCCCCACCTGCTCCAAAATCGATTGGTTGCCTTGAGGAGAAGATCGTGGAGGTGCCACAAACTGTGGTTCAAACGGTGGACAGGCATGTCCCAAAGATCCAGGTGCAAGAGATTGCAACTGGTCGGCATGGACTTGACTTGCAGTCACCAAGCTCGGGATTGTCTCTGCTTCGCTGCAAGGTGAAGCACATTCCGAAGATCGACTCTTGCTCTGCAACGATATGGTGCTAGCGCAATGGCAAGCTGTGACGGTAGGAAAGGGTGCTACATCAACAGCGCAACACATGCTGCCTAATTGACCGTCGAGGCTGACTTTCAGTGCGTGTGCAGAATGATACAAATCAAGACAGTGCCCTTTGCATTCTTAGGACGTGCGGGTGGAGGAGCGCATCATCGAAGTTCCGCAGATACAGCACGTTGAGAAGGCCATGAAGTATGAGGCAGTAGTAGGAGTAGTACGAGGAGGAGTAGTAGAAGAAGTAGTAGGATGCATGTAATGTAAGGCTTCCATGGTAAGCAAGAGTAAGTACCAAACAAGTGGCACGCAAGTAATAAGTAAAGTAGGTAATCAGGTAGGTAACCAAGCAAGTAGTAGGTAAGAAGTAAGGAAGTAGGATGTAAGTAGTGAGTAAGTCCCAAGTGAATGGTATGTAGTTTGTTATGTAAGTCCTTCTTCGTGAGTACGGAGGAAGTAGCATGCATTGGCGAGAATTACACAGCAAGAATAACTAGTAGTAAGAGGTAGTAAGTGGTAGTTAGGAAGCAGTAGTAGTAGTAGTAGTAGTAGTAGTAGTAGTAGTAGTTGTAGTAGTAGTAGTAGTTGCAGTAGCAGTAGTCGTAGTAATAGTCGTAGTACTTAGTGTCGCAGTTGTCTTGGCCGCGTAGCAGCGTAACATGTCCAGAAGGACAAGTTGAGGACGTTCGAGTAAGCTCGCAGCCAAGCAAAGGCCTCCAGCGGAAGATGTCAGAAGCGTATCGTCAAGACACCCCGATATCCATCAATACAGTAGTAGGTTATGTTGGTCGTCATTTTCTTGTTTTCCCTTCCTCCCCTCTGCTCGCAAAGCTTAAGGCACAGACTCGACGCTTTCAGCAGGAGTCAAATGCTCGATCTGTTTATAGATGCCTATCGTGCAGATCGCAACGGGCACAATAATTACGTCGAGTGCGAATTCAATTTTCTGGGCCAGCATGCGCTTAGGGCTACGGGGCCTCTAAGTTGCCCAAGCACCCAGATTCCTACATTTCATCCGTGACTCCTGGATGTATGGACAAGATGAGGGAACATCTTCTCACTTGCAGTCGAACTGCTGGACTTGATCCACTTCCTGGTAACGCCTATTTAAACATGCGGCAACTCTACATCTGCTCTACGCTTTTCTCTAGACCGTCTTGCAATCACTTGCAATCGGCTTGATGAGTGTGTACGTCAACAGATTGCCGCTCGTCGTCATGCAGTCAGATTTGAAGTGACGTCCACCATCGAGAATCCGCACCGGACAGGTTGTGGAGGTGCCTCAGACCGTAGTGCAGGAGGTTGTGCGTCACGCCGCTCGGTTCATTTTTTATATTGTTACGCCAGGGTGGAGTGATTGCACATTGAGTTTTTGCGGCAGTACCCGCATCCCCGGATCTCGTGCCAGTGGGGCCTTGAGCTCCTGCGCCCGTAGCTTCCATAAATCGTCTGGGAGTCTGGCTTCGCCAACTTTCTGGCGAACATGGCATGCACTGAAACATCTGATCTCAGGTGCCAAAGGTTCACGTGCAAGAGGTTGTGAGGCACGTTCCCAAGATCGACGTACAGATCCAGGCACCAGAGCGCAGAGCAAATGTGCGCGAGCGGACTCTGGGTCTGGCCATAGTGCAACAGGCTCATGCTTTGCACAACACGATCAGGATGCTTCAAGCGTAAAGTCTCATGTCCTGTGCTCATTAGAAAGCAAGCCATGTGCACAGGAGAAGGTGATCGAAGTCCCTCAAGTGCAGGTCGTCGAAAAGATCATCGAGGTGGGAGGAGGAGGAGGAGCGAGTTGTGGCGACAACAGATCACAAAGACACTCAAATCTTCCCCTTTGGGCTAAGCTCGTCGTGTCCCCCAGGTCCCGCAGACACAGGCGGGCGCAGGGCTTGGTTACTTGGACTTGTCATGCTGCTCAGGTCTGTGTCGATTGAAAGAGGGCAGATGTTGGAGTTGCTACGCGCCGCTCTTTGGGTGCATATCCGCTCCAGGAAAACACTGCCAGGTGCACGAGGTCGTCAAGCACGTGCCCAAGCTTCATGTCCAGGAAGTGGTTCGGCATGTGCCGAAGGCGCGATCGACTGTGAGCTGCTGCCATGAAGCAACAATCTTATGCGAGAGACCTGAAGCCAGCTGGGCAGTCTCCTGCTCTGCCGCTCTGCTCAGCCCAGTCGTAAGAATCGCTTGGCCTCGTGCAGGTTGATGTGCAGGTCCGTGAGCGCGTCGTTGAGGCCCTTGAGTTTATAATTTGAAGGCATGCCGAGGGTCAACTTAGGAGATGTCGGTTGCAACTCATCCAAGGTAGCACGGCACCCTGGTTTCGTGAAAGTGCTGGGTTTATTGCCAGGTCCCTCACGTCCAGACAGTTGAGAAGATTGTCGAGGCACTGTGCCAAAGTTGGTTTGTATCTTGCATGGTGCACGGTTTGCAGTGCTCGCCCTACCCGCGAAAAACTCTTCTTCTGACAAGGTTCCGAAGGTGCAGGTGCAGGAAGTGATTCGACACGCTGCTTGCTCAGATCAATGAGTTCGTACTAGTTGTATCCAGTTGTCACTTTTCGTGTTGTATGTGTGCTGCATTCAACACTGCAGGTGACCGTTCCTAAGATCGAGACACGCGAGAGGATCATCGAGGTTCCGTGCGTGCAGGCTCGCCATTGCTATTGTAGGTTCGCTTCGTGGCAACTTCGTGGCGTTGGACGGGACGCGTCAGGTACTCTACCGGCATGCAAGGATAGGAGGACTTGAATATCTGAGCTGTTCCTATGAAGCCTCGCCGAAGTTGCAGCAGAGGGTAGCACAGAACCTGATCTGACCAAAACCGGACAACAAGCGGGACAGCGAGTCCCAGACCAGTCGTGGCTTCCGCAGGTGCAGGAGAAGGTGTGAGCCTCAATTTCCTGCTGCTTCTTCTCTGCGATCTCTGAAGACGAGCCGCGAAGCCGTCTTTAGCTTTTTGTGCTCGTGGCTGGTGTCAGAAACGTCTCCGGTTTCTTGCTTGGTTTCGTGCGTCTTGTGATGAAAGTGCGCTTGCGCATCGAGGTTGTCGAGCACCCTGAGATTCGAGTGCAAGAGGCCAGCAGAAAGTATTGAACCACGTCAGCCGGAGACTGCCCAATCCTTGTGGACAGTTCTTGATACGGCCGATCTTAAAGAAGTCTGCGCTAGCTCCAGACAAGCTGAGAAAGTTAGTTCTTGCAGCAGATGCAGGAGTTTGTTGTGGGAAGTCCATTTGCAAAGGTTACCAAGCACGTGCCCAAGGTTGTTGAGGCCTGACTTTTGCCGTCAAATGAGTTGGGGTGCGGAGGGTTCATGTTTGGAGTGTGCTATAATTTGCCGTTCTTGTGTGTCTTTGGGGCGTCTCCGAGAAGAACAGTAAAGGTCCATATCTTGTGCTCCTATGATTGGACAAAAGTTTGATGTTTAGTAGAAAGACCTACACATTCGCCACCTTCCCGTCCCGTGATCCTTGGATCAGGACTAGGCTCGAACTCCTTGGAGATGAGATGTGTTGCAGGTTGCACCTTTGATCGGTAGCCTTCGTGCCTTGTCCAGGTCCAGGAACTGGTCAGGAATCGCCAGCGACTGGACTGGACCGGCCGAGAGCTCGGCATACCCATTGGTGCGATCATGATATACTGTAGTATATTATAGCATATTGGGGTATATTATAATATATGATAATATATCGTATTGGGGTGCAAAAGAGGTGTGAAGGGCTCGGCGCATTCCCTTCATCGGGGAAGTGAGGCTCTGCTTCCCCTTCTGAGGTGCGGACGTCTCCATGGTGACTGCAGGCGGCTCTTTGGCAGCGCGCGGACCCCACGTCAGCTACACTGTAGCTGCTTCAGTCAAGATTAGCTCTTAGGGCCGTTTTACAGCGTCAAATTGAGAAGGGATGCTGGATTACAAAGAGGGTCGCGTTATGGCCACTATCAAGCTCCTCATTTAGGAGCGGTGTCCTTCAGGGTTTGTTAGTGACAGTGACAGTGGCACCTGGCAAGCCTAGCCTGGAAGGAGCAACCGCTCTTTCACCTGCTTTGCGCAAGGGTTTCTTCCGGTGCCTGCTCGTGCATCTTGATCCTGGAGCTACTTCCGAAACGAGCTGGAGACAAAGAGTGGATTGACCAAAGTGGTGCACACTGTAACTGTAGAAAGGAGGGAGCATCAGGAGGAGGAGGAGGAGGCTGGGTGGATGGGGTGGTAGCTGCAGAAGAGATGTTGAGCTCCGGGCCTTGTGCCTTGGTGTCAACCTGAGGTCAACCTTGCCACCTCCTACTCCCGGTGCCGTCCAGACCTCAAGCAAGACGTGACATACGTTGCGATGCACAAGCCGGCATTGCCGTTGGCCGCGTGCACAGGTTAACACCCGGTACTACCCTGTCCGTGGCTCAGAGTGGAAACAGCCCTAAGCACTCCAAGACAGTTTCTGAATTGCAAAGGAGAATTCGTACTTCGGCAACCTTTAAAAGTGTCCGATCCAATTAGCGAACAGGAAGAAGCAGTGATGCCAGGAAGGCAGCCTTTTCACTCGTGCCTCACAGGGACATTTGCGGGCTTGCTGGGCCTTGGTAGTTTGATGCGTTTCCCCGGCACAACTTGTAAGTTGCGTTACTACACAATGCCTAGCAACGATGTGTCGATGCTTTCCTCAAAGAGCGTGCCCGTGTTTTCGTGCTGTGCCACGAAAAGTGGAGCCTGCATGTAGGTAAGAGAAGCAGAGGAACCGGAGAGCGCACTGGGCCGGGCTACGAGTTGAAAGATAACTTTTTCGTTCCGATGCTTCTTCTTTCATTCGGGTCATTTCGGGCCTCGCTTGAGGTGGATGGAGGAGTATCTCCGTCTGCAAGATCCGCAACAACTGCCTCAGCCTCATTCCTTTCTACGCCTTTGCCGGCCATTGGGTAATCCGAGGTGAAGGCAGGTCCGTGGCAGCGATGCTAGGCTTACTTACCTGTGAGGTCGACTTCGGTATGATGGCAACCCCGGCGTCAACCATGACGGGCTCCAAGTCTTGTTAAGCACGGACGCATTTCGAAGCAGTTGTCCAGATTGGTATCCATTACCATAGAAAGCAGATGTTAGAGAGCAAGTTTGCCATGGTGCTTCACTTTGCTGAATCCAAGCCATTTTCTCATTCCTCCTTGCTTTCCAGGGGCGCCCCGGTTGAAGCATCTGTCATCGAGGCATCCATCGAGTTCTGAGCTAAACTGAGAAGTTTGCCCTTATCGTCATGTCAGTGCGTTTTGATGCGAGCTATTTTACTGCTATGGCTTCTTGTCAACACTATGGCTTTGTCCAGTCCTGCAGGTGCCGGCAAACCTTGTCAGCGTTTCCGGTGGTGGTTCGCATGGGGCGCCTATGAATGCTGCATATGGTGGCTACGGTGGAGCGCTTCCGCCACACACTTGGCAGTGCTCAGGTCAGAAGTTTCAGAGTCTTGCGATCAAGAGCAGCTCAGCAAACTCCCCACACTGCGCTCAAAGGAATTTACAGCCCAGGCCAGATGCTGCCTACTGCAACGGATGCGGACACCAGGCCTGGGTAGATCGTTGCCATGATTGGTTGGTCGCCACAATACGCAGCTGACGATGCTTTTGCTAGCTGTGATATCTTACGTCTCGCCGTGCCACGAGTCAACTGCAGAGAGGGCAAAGTCAGAATGTCCTGGCAATCACTTGGAAGGTACCAGGGGCTGTCCCTCCGCGGCTCGGCAGACATTCCTGCACAGTGATGATAGAACTTCACCTGAGTCTGTTTGTTGTGCTTGGTCCGACACTAAGCCAGCGGCCGAAGAACATATGCAGGAAAGGCGGCTTGAATCTGCGAGAGTAAGCCATGGTGAATGATTGAATCGAAAAGGTGTCGGGACGCAGTGGCTGCAGTGTTGATGCTTCGCAGCCTGAGGCTGCTGCCTGGCTCCTCGCCGACGGTCCGCTAGCGGCAATCAGCTGGAAAGGCAAAGCAATGCTGAAATCAGACAGAAAATGTCAATGCCACTCAGTGAAGTGGATGCCTGTCGATTCCCAGTACAGGCGTAAGACAATCCGAAGATGCTAGCACTTCCTGAAAATGGCTAGCAGCTAGCTCTGCAAATGCCATTTGGAAAACAATCTCTGCATTCGCCCCTTCGAACTTGCACTCAGGTGTATGGGCCAGCGACCAACTACAGCAGTGGTGGCACGCAGCTGCCAAACCTGACTGTTGGACCACTGAACCCATTTCTCCGGTGAAAGCATCTTCGGGGTGCACGGCGCAGGAGGTGGAACAAGGTTCGTGTAAACTGCAGTGAAGCATAACGAGCGAATCGCCATTTGCTTCGACTCCGGGGCATGGTTTTGTACCACAGTTGTAGTCTTAGCAATGTCGTATCGTAGTCGCATGCCGTAGCTGAGGCCCGAGAGTACGAGTGAATGATTAGTAGACGCAAGACTATTGCTAGTCACTGGCAGACCTGATTCCCTCTTTCGCGTGCATGTTGGGCTTGGTGGTCTTCGCACGAAGCCAGCAGTTGGCCAAAGGTGCTTCACCAATGCACATAGCCTTTTGTTTAGAATCTTACTTTTTGCTGAAATGGACTGCCACTGCCACTCGCCAATCCCCTTATTATTGCAAAGCTAGTCGTTGGCCGTTGACTCATTACCGTGCTCGGCAGTGGCCAGAGACCATCTCACCGGCTGTGATGCGGCAGCTGCTTCCCTTTGAGGCCGCGGCTGCCCGGGGCAGGTAGAGACGACTTGCAGAAGAGTTCAGAGCAACTCTGGATGTTCGCTGTCTCTTAGGTTCCCTCGCAGCATTTACAGGCATATTACTCTTCGGAGCATCATTGGGTGTTCCTGGAGAGCCGGAATTCAGAGCTTGACCCTCAAGCCCGGCGCAGTCGAGTTTTGGCTCTTGGAGATGCACAGATGCCTACGTCCTATCAATTGACTCAGCGGGTCAAGGGTTCACGAAATGGTTCCGTGTTCAGGGTTGGGTGCGCATAGATGCTCTCAAAGGCCTCAGCTCATGAGGAATTGCAGTTCGATTCGCGAACTGTGAGATTCTGTGAAGGGTTCATTGCTGAAGGCAATTTAGACCAACGCACCATTCTGTGTGCTTTCGTTGCAAAATACTCTGAGTGAGTCTGCTGGATTATGATGGATATTGCAAGATGAAATTGGGAGGTTTGCTAGGTCGGATTTATGAGAATGTCTTCGTCCCTGACGGCCTGGGAGTGTCAGTAAAGTCAACCAATTCCGGAATTTACAATGATGATATTGCAGCTGATAAACATGGCTACGGGTCGTGAATAGATGGGATGTCAAGAAAGAACATATTAGCGTAAATATGAACTTATATATGGTCAGGCGTCTGGTGTTCCCAGCCTCCCCCCTCAATTGGTATGGTCTGGTGGTAGGGGTGGGGGGGTGGGGTGGGTGGAGGGCGAGAATGTACGGGGAGTGTCGTGCGAGTGAGTTTGAGGGGAGTGCCACGTAATGGTTGGGGATAGAAGGGGGCGAATCGTGGGGAATGGAGGGCGGAGGTGGAATAAGATATCGTAGAATGAATCGTGAGCGTACATAAAGGAGGCAGGAATATTAGGATATATTATTTATATTCAGGATTCTTGATATTTGAGATTCATTGAATCATTGAAATAAAGGAAGTTTCTAAATCATAGAATTTTCTTATTTTATAAGAACTAATTCGATGGAGAAAATTAGATGATCTAATCTTTAAATAGAGATTTATTGGGATATGTAGCTATAAGAGAATGGATTTTGGATGAGTTCTTATATTTTTTGGCTGAATTTCGGTAGATGCAAGGAAAATAATCTGAGGAAATGATGGAATTCTATAAATTCTATTAATGATTCTATTATTATTTTTTTAATGCAAATATATCTTTATATATTTCTATAGAATTCTATATATATATCTTAATCTCTCTCTCTCTCTCAATTATTGATTTCTAAACCTTTATATTTCTTATTATCTATTTCTGATTAGTATTGCTTTATTTATTTATGAATTCTATATATAATTATAGATTAAAATTAAATCTATAATTTTATATTTTATATTTATATATAATTCTTACCAATATTCTTTTGAATTATTCATTTATTTTCTATATAATGATATGATTTGATATTTAGATGAAAGAAGATATTGAAATATTGATTATATTCATTTATTCGATGATCTTGAATTTAGATATTCTTTAGAGCTCGATTTAGAGGTCTTCTATAAAAGTATTATAAATTATTTTGAAATTTCA